AACACTACTTTTTCGAGCATTTTTTTTTAACTTTGAACACGAATTACAGCAAAACGGCTAAAACCACAGTAATATATCGATACTTGCTAGATTTCTCAAACATTCAGCTTTCATATGCAGCTTTTGGATTAATTCTATGTATTATAGTTTTCGAAAAAATCAATGAAATGTGAAAACACTGCTTTTTTTAACATTTTTACAATTTTAAACGCCAATTACAGACAAACGGATGAAACCACAACAATATATGAATACTCGCTGCATACCCCAAAGATTCAGCTTTCATATGCATCTCGTTATATTCCCCAACGATTCAGCTTTCAAATGCATCTTTTCAATCCATTCTATCTATTGTAGTTTTCAAGAAACTCACTGAAATGTGAATATCCTGTTTTTTTGAGCGTTAATGCAAATTACAAGCAAACTCGAAGAAAACTGTATCACTCAATTCTATTAAGTTTACATGTTAATATTGCTCAATATTCGTAGAAATATAAAAGTAAATAGTTACGTAATTAATATATCATTGCTTGCATCCTATTTGAGAAATAGAACACTTTCGATAATGAGGTTTCAATTTTTGTGTAGTTTGTATATATTTTTTTTGTTTTCAGCGTATAGAGCGCTCGCTTTTGGAGAGCACTTGCGTAGATACCGCTCGGAAGGAATGCGTTTGCAATTGCAATTACATAAAATCGGGGTTGACGATGTACGTAAACAGGTAAAACGTATGACGTCCGCGAAGTGAAAGTCGTCTTCGTGAAAAACCGAAGCGCGCGAAGTGCGCACGCGATTTAGAATTATTCGTTTCAAAATTTCAAATCTTTGTAATTTCAACTTTAGCTTTTGTTTTTTTTTGGGGGAAATGCGCGCAGCACGAGGTGATTTGATAACTCGATACTGTGATGATGATTAAGCCTATGATGCTGCGTTGATGATGATGATGATCTTGGTGATGATGATGATGATGATGATGACGTTCTGCAGGTGGTGGTGGTGGTGGGGTCGACGTCGATGGGCACGTGATATTCGATCTGCGGGTGCGCGTGGCTCCGGTCCCCGCTTCCCAGAACCGAAGTCGCGATGCGGTCATCACTTCTTAAAATACCGCACGTCGCGCGAACTTCATTTGCCACGAACGCCTCCATCCGAGCAGACGCGGACCGCGGCCGAAGAAGTAGAAGAAGTCGAAGCAAACATCACAAAGTGCAATCGTATCCTGCTGCTGCTCTCTTCATCAAAAAAACGTGCACAAAAACAAACAATCTTCGAGTGGTGCGCGAGTAACAACAACAACAACAGAAGCTACACAACTGCATGAGAGGACACGAGATGAGATGAGATGTTGTTGATGATGATGATCATGTTGTTTTAGTTTGTTAGTTAGTGCCGATACACAGAGTGCGCGCTCGACTGTGTTACCACCGCCTTCATTGTTGATTAACAATAACGAAATATTATTATCATTATTATTGCTGTTGTGTGCCGCACGCGACCTTCAGTTTCTTCCACACTTCACATATAAATTTAATAACTTCAACTGCAACAAGACACAAAAATTACAAAAAGAGAGAGATATTATAAATAAATAGAAATAATAATAAATGCAAACAAACAAAAAGTAAATATTACAAAAATAATGCTAATCGAGGTGAGTCTGCTAAATCATCATCACTAACACAGAAAAATAATCGAATCCAATCAACTCATCCATGAATTAACAACAAACGCAATCACTAAATCATCTAATCTTATCTTTTGTTTGGTAATGACCAAAGCCTACCAACGAAATTCTAATCATCGCATTCTCTTATGTACATTTGTTCTTTTTTTGTTTTTTTTTCTATCTCCGTCCCGAAGGTTGCGTATTAAAACAAAATATAAGCGACGCGCGATCGCAATAATCTGTGCACGACGTTAGAGCAATAAATAAAGAGACTTTTAAAAAGAGCGATTTCGTTTCCGTCATGGACGAACACAGTTTAGGTGTGTAGAAAATAAGACTTTTTTTTATATTTATATATATATATATATAGTTACTTTCTTTCTGGTTTTGTCTTTTTTGTTTTTTTTTGGTAACAAATTTTTAGTTTTGTTGGTTTCTCGCTCGTTTTGCATGCGTTTCGTTTTTGTTATTATTGTTTTTTTTTCTTGTTGTTTTGTTTCATTTGATGTATTTGCAAAATATATAATTAACTTTGGTTAATCTAGTTGCTTCCACATTGAACTAATTGCGAGTCTTCGGGTTTCGTTTCGTGGTGATGCCGCTACGCAGCTCGACCAATCTAAATTTAACTCGGCAGCACAGCACACTTATTTTATTTTGTTCTCCGCCATCATCTTGAACAGCGCTGGTAGCTGTGAAACAGACTTGGATCAAAATTGCAAAAAAAAACAAAAATTAAAATTTGTTGCTTCGATCATTTTTTTTTGTTTTGTTTCTATTATATATTATATTATATATATTTTTTGTTGTTGTTGTATCCGCCGGTTACGTACATGTGCGATGATGGTTGGAGAGAGCCCTCAAGGCCATCCACTTCGTGTACTCGCAGTAGTTTCGATGATAAAAAAAGGAACGGCGCGACGCAATCCGAGCTGTTAGCCGTTTCCAATTGACTTTCGTTATTACTTTGTTTCTCGTTTGTTTCTTGTTGTTGTTTTTTTTTTGTCACTGATTCCTCGATTCTCGTTGTTGTTATTTATATTTTGTTTAAATTATTGTTGTTTTGTTTCGTTACGTTACGTTACGTTTCTAGTAGCAACGAGCGTCGTTTATCTTTTTTCCTGCACTTCGAAAATGCACGAAGCTTTATCAAACGACCGATATTTGATTTGAGTCACGATGTGTGTTTGTTTTTGTTTTTTTTTATTCAACGTTCGAAATTCACCAGTTACATCGATTTTGCCATGATTTCTATTGCAAAACTTTGAAAAATTGTAACATTTTGCACAATTTTTGTCTCTTATTTTAAAGATTGATGAAACAAAAATCGTGAAAATTATTGTAATTAATGGAATTATTGTATTTAATAACAAATATGCAAGAAACTACAAAATTATTGAATATATTGACGTAAATATGTAGAAAAAAATATCATAGTTATAACTTTTGAATGAAACATAACTTTCTTTACTTGCAAATCTTGTCTATTCAATATCACCTAATCAAGTTGCTTAACTATTGTATATCAATTTTTTTTTAATGAGAAAATCCTTCATTCAATATTTATTAATAATTTAAAACTTTGTTTCGCATCATTAACGAAAATTAATTCGAAACAAAAGAAACTTAAGTGTTTATCGATTATCGATTGTTTAATTATATACTTTGTTCAGAAAAAAAAAATGAAGTTGAATTCCTGCTAATGATTAATTTGTTTCAAAGAACCTGATTTGCTTTAATTTTTTTTTGTTTGTTTTTTTAATTCTCGATATCTTCGATCCGAATGCGACTCTATAATCGATTTTTTTTTCTCTTTTCGACGATTTCAACACTCTTGTTTCCTCGTTCATTTATTTTCTTGCAATAAAAACAAAAGATGACGTGATTTTGTTTCGCAGAATTTGATCTTAGAAGTTGTTCTCTAGTAAAATGTTATTTATTTGTTTCGTTTTTTTTTATTCGAAATTTTTTACTTGTCGAAATTATCAATTTTAAAGGTTACAAGCATGCAATTACCTCCATTTAAGTTGGTACACATGCAACAAATAAATAATATTCGCTCAATTTTTTTTTATATAAATCTGTCAAAACCAAAAAATAATCATCTTAACACCTTGTAACTATGGTAACTGAGAAACAGTTGTTTGTAGATGTTTGTTCAGAAACATAAAGTTGCTCAAATTCGATTTGAAGTTTCTGTTCTTTATTTGACTTAAATATAAGTAACTATGGTAACAGAGAAATAATCATTGTTATTATTATTACATACAAACTGTTGCTCAAGTTGTGATCTTTAAAGAAAATAGATAAATATTCTGACGTTTTCATTCCCTAACCGATAAATCTGTCATGCAGCTATGGCAACAAAGAAACAATCAATTTAAACAGAATGTTGCTCAAATTGTGTTGTTCCACATAATAATATTTAGTTTTTCAAACATTAATTTTTTTACAAAGAAACAATTGTATTGTTGCTTCAAACGTAATGTTTTGTCTAAATTTTGATTTGACAAAATCTCTATTTTCTGTGACGTTTTCGTTTGTCTAACCAATAAATCTGTACTGTCATAAATGTATGTAACTATGGCAACCGAACAGAATATTACTTCACTAAAACTAAAAATGTTGCTGACATCTTGATATTCCACAAAATGGATGATGCAATGGCAACAAATGCTCAAATCTTGTTCCACAAGATGAATGATGCTAATAAGTAATGACAACAAAGAAATATTCGTATTATTGTTTCAAACTAAATGTTGCCTAGATTTTGATTTACGAATAAAATAGATATATTTTCTCTGACGTCTTCATTTTTCTAACCAATAAATCCGTATTGTCATAAATTATGTAACTATGGCAACTAAACAGAATATTACTTTAAACACAATTTTGCTGAAATCTTGTTGGATGACGCAAATAACTAATGGCAACCGAGAAACAATTCTATTACTGCATAAAACAAAATGTTGCTTAGATTTTCATTTACAAATAAGATAGATCTATTTGCTGTGACGTTTTTCTAACCAACAAATCTGTATTGTCATAATTGTATGTAACTATGGCAACCAAACAGAATATTACTTCAAACAAAAATATTACTGAAATCTTGATGTTCCAGAAAATGGATGATGCAATGGCAACAAATGCTCAAATCTTGTTCCACAAGATGAATGATGCTAATAAGTAATGACAACAAAGAAATATTTGTATTATTGTTTCAAACTAAATGTTGCCTAGATTTTGATTTACAAATAAAATACATGTATGACGTCTTCATTTTTCTAACCAATAAATCCGTATTGTCATAAATTACTATGGCAACTAAACAGAATATTACTTTAAACAAAAATGTTGCTGAAATCTTGTTGGATGATGCAAATAACTAATGGCAACAAAGAAACAATTGCATTACTGTATAAAACAAAATGTTGCCTAGATTTTCATTTACAAACAAGATAGATGTATTTGCTGTGACGTTTTTCTAACCAATAAATCTGTATTGTCATAACTGTATGTAACTATGGCAATTAAACAAAAATGTTGCTGAAATCTTGTTATTCCACAAAACGGATGATGTAAATAACTAATGGCAACAAAGAATCATTTGTATTATTGCCTAGACGTTGAACAAAATGGATGTTGGATCATCTTTAGCAAAGTTTCTAGGAAATGTGGCACAATGGCAGAAATTGGCCCGGACGTTCTGCCAAAAAAAAAAACGCGAATTTCTCGACATGCACACACAACGGCCAATTTTCTTGCAACGCGAAAATTGGGTCTTTAATATTTTTTTAAAGTTGTTCCCAACTCCGAATTCGACTAATTTCTTTAATGTAAGGAATGTAGTTCGTTCGTTCGGTAATCTGATACCAAACGAGGTGGAAGCTTTTTGGAAGGATGAGATGAGGTTGTTATGAGTAAAGGAGTATTTTTAAAAATGGCCGCACGCGATTCAGAATATTTACAACTCGGTCTCACTCAGTGTGAATGTTTTAGTGCGTGTATATGTGTGTGTGTGTGTGTTTCGGGGATCTGTTGTGGTTCGAAAATCTTCGGGTCTTTTAAGCTATTTTTAACCCGCTCCTAAAACACTCTTTCTCTCTCTCTCAAACACACACACAAATATATATATGATACATTCATGCGCTCGTTTCTTCGTTATGCAATTTCCATTTCGCATTATTTTCCAATTGCTGCCTGTAGTCGTGGAAAGCTTCAAGATAATTACCGATTAAGTGCACACAAACACACACTAGATTTGCATTTTCCCTTTTTTCGACTTTCAGTCGAGTACTTCTTACTTAGTTAGAGTTGTGTATTTTTGGGTGGATTGCAGTGCTTCGCTTTGGATTTTGGTAAAGAAAGGAAACGTCGCAGTTCTCGTCGGTATGTACGTATACAATGGAACAAAAGTCTCTGACAAGGTTACGAGAGTTGTCGGCAATTACTACTACCATCCGTCCGTTCGTCCTTTCCTTCCTCCGTCTCTATCACTAACTAACTTAAACTCTAAACTAGCAACAAAGAACACGTTCTTTCTTTATTTTTTGTTCTCTCCTTTCCATTCGCTCATTTTGGCATCGAAGCAAAAAAAAAACAACAACTCGCCTTTTAAAGACCACAAATCACGTGCAAGAAACATTCAACAACAATTTGTCCGCGATTTGCGCGAAAACCGCATTCGATTATAATGGTAAATGTACATATTCAGTGTTTCTTCTATATAGTCATCAAGAGTTGAAACGTTTCAATTTCCTTCATCATTCATTCAATTAAACATCCACATTTTTATATACTTATTATTTCTAAAATCTAATAGTTTAGTTTACAAATTCGTTAAAAAACTCAAGAAAAATCTAGAGATCAGATACAAAATCTAATTATTTATAAAATCTTGAAAATATTTCAATGTAAACATACAGTTTTATATATCTAGTTGCATTTTTTTAACTTATATCAATTTCTGTTATTTGATTTTTAATTGTTCAATGTTGAAAATACTTAAAATTTGGCCTCCTATGATTAACGTGTCTTGTCCAAAATCTAAAAAACTTCATGGAAATATTTCATAATTTGGTTATTTTACGAATAATAAAAGTTCTGTACTTTTCAAGAAATCCACCAAAATCAAATTATTACATTTTGATTAGATTACAAAAACTTGAATTTGCCTATTTTGTGAATAATTAGAAATCTAAAGTTGTCAAAAACTGTACTATTTGACACATATCATATTTCAGATATGTCAAATTAACCTAAATTAACACTGTCAATACTGTTTACTGAGATTATGGTTGTCACAGCAACAATAAAACAAAAGCTGCGCTCGTCGGAAATGATTACTTCACTCACACTCGGTTCACTCGCCAAGCAGGAATTTTATCAAAAGGAATTAGCATGCAGTCTAATCTGATTCCCCGTTTCCTGCCTTCCTCAAGCGCAAACTTAACGTACAATTTCGCGCTCAACCGAAATACCTCCGCCAACAATTTCAATTGTTTCGTTCGTTTCTGACGTTTCCGTCGTTTTTTTTTTTTTTACTTGGTCTACTCGATAATCTTAAGAATTTGATACACATTCTGGTCGCCAATCTGGAAACGATTAAGCAACTCAAGGTATTTGAACAGAATAGAATTGAAATTCCACAAAAATTATTGACTGTAAGTTAATTATAGTTTAAATACTTAAACAACAAATCAATTTCTTTAATTACTTCTCAGGTCATTGATCTTTCTTTAAATAACGAAAACATCAATTTTGTAAATTTGTCTTTTTACAATTATCAACTTGAAATTACAGTTAAACACTTGACAAGTCACAAAAATTGATCTTTTTTTTAAGAGAAAATCATGTTTTTGTCTGTATTATTGCCCATTAATTGGTGTTTTTTAAGACGTGACTCACATTTGTTGGTAAGATTCCAATTGGATTCGAATCTGTTAATGTAATGTCACACGTAACATCACTCCTCTATTTGTTTTGAAAGAAAATTGAGCTTAGAAAAAGAAGTAAAAGTTTGAAGAAATTTCTAAAATCTGATCTTTAGAAAGAGATGTTAGTTTGTTTTTTTTTGTGTATATGAAATGTGAAAGTGAAAATTTACTGTACATATTAATTAATAATGAAAAATGTAAATATTTGCACAATAAATGATGAATCAGTATCAATCTAACCACGTCATTCATGCTCCATCGCCTCTACTCATGACAAACATGTTCACCAACTTTACCGAATAAAACAAAAACAAAAAGATAACTGTACAAACAACTTCAATCTCCAATTTGCAAAATGTCGTATATAAATTTGAAGGTTGTGTTTCAATGTGTATTTAGGACTTCTCTAATGTTTCAATCTTTTCGAAGGTCGAATAACCCGAAACACAAAGATATTGAAAATAGTTTAAAAATAGATGTGCTCCGCGAAACCGGAAAATAGATTCGCAAAAGGCCGTGCAACTGCAAAGTGTCATAACGTGTCATAATAATACGTTGTGAGTCTATTACCAACTGTCGCAATATTTAGTTGAAACGCGACCCGTCTCGTCTAAAGTGGCGCTATTTGGCTTGTGATGCTTATGCGTATGGAAGGACTTCGGACTCGGTCAATTTAGAATAAATGCTATGCTATTACGAATGGATTGCTGCAACGAAGATTAATTTTAAAATAGAGCTTAGAGCAAGTTGAATTCGCTGTAATTGCAAATATAGTGAAATTACTTGTTGTGTTCACATTTGAAACTTGACGAAATTTTTTTTGATGTTTCTGGATTCGGTCAATTCGAAAGCAAAGTGTTTCAGTAACTTATGTCAAATTAGAGAGTGCGCGCTTGAAAATAACTTTGACATCTATGTTTTGACAGATAAATATTGTGTAATTTTCAATGAATTGATTTGTGTCACGTAACGTTTGTTGTAAAGAAGCACACGTCGATTATATCTTCTTAATGTTTCAAATTAAACAAGATTTGACTATTTCAAAATATGATGTAATTTTGAATGAATTCATGCTATTTTATTATGAAAACAACTAGAACTGTCAAACAACTGTCAAATTGAAAATGAGCGTTATTCACTTTGACATCTATGTTTTGACAGATAAATATTGTGTAATTTTGAATGAATTGATTTGTGTCAAATGGAGTTGTTTGTTTTAAAGAAGCACACGTCGATTATATCTTCTTAATGTTTCAAATTAAACTAGATTTGACTATTTTAGAATATGATGTAATTTTGAATTAATTCATGCTATTTTATTATGAAAACAACTAGAACTGTCAAACAACTGTCAAATTGAAAATGAGCGTTATTCACTTTGACATCTATGTTTTGACAGATAAATATTGTGTAATTTTGAATGAATTGATTTGTGTCAAATGGAGTTGTTTATTTTAAAGAAGCACACGCCGATTATATATTCTTAATGTTTCAAATTAAACTAGATTTTACTATTTTAAAATGTGATGTAATGCTATTTTATTATGAAAACAACTAGAGCTGTCAAACAACTGTCAAATTTAGTTGTGACGCGTCCCGCGCGTTTCAAAGTGGCGCTGTTAGTAATATCGTCTTGTATGTTGTATTTAAAGTAGATTTGAACACAATTGCTGCAATTAGTTTTGTTTTGTGAATACATAAGTAGTAGTTGTTTGATTGGTGTATATTATTTGTAATGCCTTTTTGATTTGTTTTTGTTTGTTTTGTACAATTTGTTTGTTTTGTACAATTTTTGCATCGATTCGATTTAAACAAACGTTTTTTCGTTTTCTTCTTCGGCAGGTCCAGCGAGGCAACTGCAGCAGAGGCCAATCGAAGAGTCTATAAATATAAGTGATGTCAGTAAGTATAATCCAAATAGTATTTGTAATAATAATCATTCTCTCTCTCTCGCTCCCTCTAACTTTGCTCTACTTCACCTTTATTCTTGCCAAAAACAAAAAAAAATTGGTGCGAAGAATGCCGTGGGCGCTCGTGGATCTGTTCCAATTGAATGCGGGCGTTACATTTTTTATTTCGGAACGATTCGCGAGCGACTAGAGAATGTTCATTGATGAAAAAAATAAAAATAGTAATAAAAATAGGCACTAATTGTTCTAAATCTTTTGATTACTGTTATGCAGTTGAGGTGATAGAAACCGATCCGGATTTCAAGCAGGCGACTTGTCTGTCGTCGTCGTCGTCGTCTTCACCTCCTCAGACGACGTCTTCTTCTGTTACGAGGAGCAACGGTTCCGCAGGAACAGGAACGATGTTCAACAACAGTCCGATAGATCCAGCTCAGATCCGCCGTCAGGCGACGGTGCGCATCATCGAGCAGCCCGCATCTAAGGCCCTTCGCTTCAGGTACGAATGCGAGGGTCGTTCAGCCGGGTCCATTCCCGGTGTCAACAGTACAGCCGAAAACAAGACCTTCCCTACCATCCAGATCGATGGATACAAGGGCAAGGCCGTCGTCGTCGTCAGCTGCGTCACCAAAGACCATCCCCACAGGTAATGGAAAACCGAAAAAAAAAAACTTTTTTACATTGATTTCCAGAATTCCCTTGATTGCATCACGATTCCTATCTTATCTATGTAGGATAAAACTCGCAAAACGGACATATGTTCGCACGCTCAAGTCCCCTCGTATTGAACGACGGATAAACAAACAAATTGTCTGAAAAAAGTCTGGCTTCTATCAGATTTTGTTTTTTTGTTGATCAGTCATAATTACATCATATAACAAATTGAGAATATTCATAAATGTTACCTATGATAAATTACCTATAAGTTCATTTTGAAAGTGACTTAAGTCCATTTATCTTTAATATGAAAAACTTAAGGTTTTTTTTTAGTGATGTGATGCTTCTCATACTTTTATATAACGATGGCAAATACAATATTCCCAAATTTTTTAGGTCTGCCCCGACGTGGCAATAAATCAAGATTTTTAATTTCTGCGTTCTCATCCATGGTTGTTTTGTATAAAATTTTATATGGTTCATTTCTTAAAAATCGCATCCAGCATATTTGAAGCCAGTTTATTTTTTCTCCGTCGGTATTTTGTAAACTGCTTCTTCCAAGAGTCTTGTTGATATAAAATCCTCTTGTTTCATTTCATTTAGTATGAAAGTATTACCTTTTCTACATTTTTTTAATTATATTATAACAATCTTGTGGCACATACAATAACTGATTTCTTTTTAACGACATTTATATAACGCCAAAATCTCTGTCATCAGGTAAAAATCGTCCTTCGCTTATTTGAAAAGTACCTAAAAAGATTTTTTTACAAACAGCAACTTCGTTTGCCTGTTTTTAGAATTTAACCAATACGTAAAACTCTCATTTCTACATGAACCTTTTCCGTTTCTCTGACGTCTTCTTTTTACAACACTTCGTATAGCAACATATTTTGCTTATTAAAGTCTCCTAAGTTCCAAAACATTTCGAACATACGTTTTCTTTCTGTTTCATTTAAATTTTTCAAGCAGTCTTTTCGGCATTGACAATTTTCATTTTGAAAAACTTTGGCAGGAATATTTGTAAATTCTCATTCTCAATTACTTCCTCTTCCTCTGTCGAAGAATGAACTTCTAAAATTCTCCTTCTTTTTTTAAATCTGTTGTACGAGTTTGATTCCTCTTCACTTTCAGAATCAAGAAATCTTGTTATTTTATCCTTTCCCCATGGGTTTAATAATTTCTTTAAATTAAATATTATTTTTTAAATTTCAATTTAATATTCATTTAATATCCACTTCTTGACATCGTCAATAAAAAGTGGACTTAGGTCACTTTCAAAATTAGGATTTTCAGTATATTTCAATACCGATTTATTTTTTTGACAGTTCAGCATAAATTATAAATGTAACAAGTGCCAACTTGATAAAAGATGAAAATGGACTTAAGCCACTTTCAAAATAAACGGCTCAAATAGTGAACATAATTGTTTTTGTTTTGTAGGCCGCATCCGCACAATTTGGTCGGCAGGGACGGCTGCAAGAGGGGCGTCTGTACTATGGAGATCTCGCCCGACTCAATGTCGATATCCTTCTCGAATTTGGGCATTCAGTGCGTGAAGAAGAAGGACATCGAGGCTCATTTGAGGGTGAGGGAAGAGATCCGCGTTGATCCGTTCAAAAGTATAAGAAACGACGTCACCTGTTCGAAGTAGAGCCACCATCGTCTAACCGAATTGTTCTTGCGTTTGTTGTTCACAGCCGGTTACACGCATCGCAGCCAACCAACGTCCATAGATCTCAACTCGGTACGTCTATGCTTTCAAGTGTTCACCGAAGGCGACAAACCTGGAAAGTTCACCGTACCTCTTCAACCGGTCGTCAGCGATCCCATCTACGATAAGAAGTCGATGACCGATCTGACCATTGTCAAACTCTCTGATTGCGTGAGCTCGGTGGACGGTGGTCGTAAAGACATTATCGTCCTCTGCGAGAAGGTAAACGCGTGAATTGGATTCGAATCGTTTTGCACTGTATTTTAAAAACTGTATTGTGTTTAGGTGAGCAAAGAGGACATTCAGATCAGATTCTACGAGGAGAAGGACGGTTTGGTCGTGTGGGAGGGTTTGGGTGATTTCCAACCGTCGCAAGTTCACAAGCAAACGGCCATCTGGTTCAAGACGCCCAGGTACAGGACGCTCGACATCACCGAACCGGTCAAGGTTAACATCCAACTGCGGCGACCCTCCGATGGAGCCATCAGTGAGCCGCTGCCCTTTGAATTGCTGCCCTTGGACTCAGGTAGGCCTTCATTTTGGTCAGCGCGTCGGAAGAAGGCGAATTACGCCCTCTTCAACAGTCTTCTCGTTCCCGCTGCTGCTACAACAGCAGCAGCACCAACAATACCAGCACAACCTATAGTTGTGACCGCGGAACCGGAACCAATCGTTAATGAAGTTAAGGAGCGAATGGAGGTGGAGATGCCGGCGTACGGGGAGATCAAGAAACATAAACCAGCGATGGTAATCGAGAGTAACAACAACGAGGTGCCTTTGGCACCGCAGCAGGAGATCGTGCAAGAGGTGGATGAGATTTACACGGAGAACAAGAAACTGGTGGAAGCGTTCGATTTGAACAACGTGCAGGCAATGGATACAGAAGTCGTGGCCGAATCGTTCGATGATTCCAAGACGTACAGCAGTCTGCAGATGGCGTTCAAGAACCCCATGCAGATGGTGGAGATCGATATCGAGGGCGACGGAACGGATAGGTATGAGGATATAGTCGTGAATCCTGCGAGTCCGGTCATAGATTTGGGCGTAAAACGCGACGTCGTCGAAGTAGACAAGTTGCCGCCGCTTCCACCGAAACGCGCCAAGAAGGTCATCGAAACGGACATTTGCGATCCCGTCGACCCCAAATACGTGACAGCCCCGATGACGCGCTCCCACAGTTGCAACTCGCTGAAGCCGGTGTTGGCGCCCTCGAAACGGTTACCTCCGACACCGTGCTCCACGTTGCCGAACCCAAAGAAACGCGGCTTCTTCTCGAAGTTGTTCGGAAAGAAGGAGCGAAGCAACGCGAGCACTCGCTGCTCCAGCATCGAACCGATGGCGAAGGGAAGAAGCCCATTCTCGAGCGTGAATTCGCTCCAGGTGACTCCGCTGAACAGGACGCCCAGCAATCGATCCGCGAACAGCGTCCGGATTCCACTCAAAGACAGCCTTCCCGATCTGACCGTCGTAGGCCAGCAGGAACCTCCGCACGATCAGCAGCTCAACGACCTCAGCAAAACCACGTCGATCAACAACAATTTGAACTTTGCTCCGAACGATCTACCAGATAACGAAGACGAAATTAACATGAACTTGGAACTCACCGAAGCGGAGAACTACGCCCTTTACATGGCGATGGCTCCGCACGCGACGCAAAGCGAGTTCGACGAGATGTCCGCTTATTACGCTCCCGTTGAAGGCGGCAAAATCTTGACGGACGCCGAAGTCCTGATGCGACTCGCCCAAAACAAAACCTGAAGAGACCAATCACTTAAAGGATCTGAAACAAAACACACAAAAATAAACAAAACAAACGAAATACAGTGGATATCTTCCGATTGACTGTATTCCGAATAAAAGACGAAGCGGACAAAAATCGAGATACAAAAATAATAATTTATATATATTGGAAAACGAATACCTAAATTTCGAGTGCCTTAAACGGATTTTATACAAGTTTTCTTTTTGTACATTTTTTGATACGGAAAAAACACCGCACGCTTACAATATTATAAATATTAACGGAAATACTGAAATTTAGAATTTCCGTTTGCAATTTTCTACATACAATTTTTTACGATTTTTATTTTTAGAGCGCGGAAGTTGGTTGTTGTTGATTTTAACTTGTTGATTGGTTGACTGCTTGATTGATAGACGATAGATGGCGCTGCATCTAACTTTAACCAATATTCACCATTTTATACCGGGAAAGTTCGACAAATCACTTCAAAATCAATTAAAAACAAGCACATTTTGCAAATATGTTAATTGAAGATGATTTTATCGAATTTTCCCCGAAACAGTTTTTTTTTTTTCATTCTAGATTCGTTAATGTTGTGTTTTTTTTTACCATTATTATGATTATTATCACCAATTTTCATGATGTATATTTTTATTTTTCTTCTTTTTTTTTTGTAGGGATTAAGCGTAAAAGAAAATTTGAACCCGATCCAAACGGTAAACTGATACGTCAATTGCCAGAACAAGACAATGACAATAGTAAGTCGCAAATTACAAAAAAAAAAATTATACATACATCAAATAATTCGCATTTTCTATCATTGGTGCTGGGTTCATTAAACTTCTTTTATCCTCTTCCTTCCATCACATACTATATTTTTTTTTAACCAATCGGCGTTTCCCAACCTGCCGCAGATAGAAACGTCATTATTAGTATTCATTTTTTTTAGTTATTGTTGTTGTTGTTGTGAGCCGGTTGGGAAATGCGATGCGTATGTTCTTGTTGATGATTGTTCTATGTTCTTTGTCTTTCTCTTTGTGTCTAGTCAATTTAAGGGAAAGAAACGGATGGCGAGGAAAACTGTGTGTGCGTTTCCAACGAATTTTCAGTTGTTTTTCCTTTTTTTTTTTTGTATATGGAACTGTAGTTTATTACGTTAGATGTTTAGTAGATGAGGGGTGAAGAGGAGGCGTGTTTTCGGTGATCTGTGAGAATGAGTGGGCAATAATGTTAGTTAGTTGGTTGTGCGGTAGACGGATCGACCAACACGAACGTAGCTTGATTTCGATCAAATCAAGTAAGCTTCGATCATTTTGTTTTTAATCAATTGTCAACTGTTTCCTGATCGAAATCAACTTTACGCAAGTTGGAGGCTCCGTCGAAACACTCGGAATGTTACTATTTATTACTATTATTACTATTTACATTTATGAAGTTTGTTTTACTCTTGTCACGTTTTTTTTTACAATACGAAGCTTTATTAAACATATTTATTATTATTATTATATTGAGAATTGAAACAGAAAAATAATTGAAATATATTTGACCAAAAATCCGATTAGCAAGGCTACTTCGTTTTCACCTACCCCCCAACAAAATTTTTTTGTTTTCTCTCTATAAATATCTAGTCTACACTAACTACGGATTATAAAATCAGGTACTTTGAGTTTTTGAAATTGTGTATTATTATTATTTTGTAGTTTTATATTATTTTTGTCTTCGCTGCATGATTTGACTATTTTTTTGATATTGGCAATGTACTGTGTACGTATTATATGAATAATTGGTTTTTCCCCTCTCACCGTTTGTGTGTGTGTGTGTGTCTATTTTGGTTCGCTTATCACGTTATTAATCATCTTATTTCTGTTCTTTTGGCAAGCTTCTCCATCTCATAAAGTCTAACATCATCTATGTCGCTAATCCTTAAAAACACCGCTGTTTCTCAACCTAATTACGAAATTGATTAACTCTATGTTTCTTTTCTTTTGTTCGTTGCGTTAGGAGATGCCTCCATCCAGTTCAACATTAGGAACATGCAGACGGACGTCAAGGTCGAACCGCTGGGTAAATATTGCTGTAGATTTGTTACATGATCTAATGCCTCTCAAATATTATGACTAATTGTGGGAATTGAAAAATAAAATGGAAATTTTTAAGTTCAAAATTAGTAAATTATTTCCTAAAAATTAAAACTTGTTAAGTGAGTTAATAATTATAGTAAATAATTTGATAATAACACTTTGGTCTTAAGTATAGAAGAAATATTTAGTTAGGATCTTAGGATCTTTGTTAGGACCTAGTACACCAACCTGTGGGATTCGTGAAATCTGACTGTTGTATTGTTCCATTGCAGACGTGATTTCGTACAGGAGTCCGATTTACACGGGCGGCGCGATGAGTCCCATATACCCGACGTCGTCGATGTCGCCGCAGCAGATGTACAGTATGCCGGTTCACGTGAACCTTGGGCCGACCCCGCCGCCGGTTGAGCTGCAGCAGTTCATCAACTATCCACCCAACAACAACCTGAATCCCGGAGGTCTTCCGCAGACGATAGGCTCGATCGCGGGCGGATCGTCGATGCCGTCCGCGTCGGGCGTTCTTCCCTCGATGAACTCCTGGAACATCCCGTCGTCGATGCAGCCGCCGATGCAACCGACGAACGTCGTCGACCTGGAGGCTGGCACGAGGATGAGCATGAGCGGTCTGAGCAGCCTCCTGGACCTGGACAGTCAGCAGATGGAGCTGAGGCAGATCAACCTGAATTCGGGCGAGCTCGGCGACCTGGGGACGAACAACCTCTCCGAGAACTTCACACAAAACCTCTCACTTTCCGACATGCCGCGCGTCGACAACATGACCGACAGCCTGACGCGACTCGCGCAAACGACCTACGACAAAATGTGCGGTTAACATTAAACAACAACAACAACAACAAACAAAAAGTTTTCACCCCCTCCCCCCCAATTTCATTTCGTGTGGACCCGAACAATTTCACGCCTATACATACGAAAATGCGCGTGCGAACATTTACTTGTTATATATATATATTTTTTTTTCATATTTAATTTATTTTACAAAGAGAGAATTTGCAACAAATGAGCATACTTTTAAGTGTACAATAATAACTGCTTAAATATTGTTACTTTCTTTTTATTTTCTCAATATTACGTTTTACTTTTACCATATCTTTTATTATTACTATAATTATTATATAATCACTATTATATTGTGTAGCACATATATATACTTTTTATCTCAAATGAAACAATTATGCTGTGATCTGCAAAAAAAAAAAATATATATGAGGAGAGGATTGAAATTGATTGAACACTTTTCTCGATTATTAAAACATACACAACAACAACAACAACAAAACGGAATATTTTATACTTTACGAAAAAAAGATTGTTTGTTTTTCTGTTTGTTTGTTTAATTATTTATATATATATGAAATGGGTTTAATTGTATTTTATAATGCTTACATAAAAGCATACTGTCATAAGAAGAACTTGTGTGTATTCGCAACGACAACTGCGATCAACAAAAAGCAATAGAAACAAAACTGTTAATTTTTTTTTATATATAATCGTTAATATTTGCAATTTTGATTAATTGAATAAATGTTATGAAAGCGATGAACGAAATCGTCTGTTTTATTTCATTTTTCTCTTGATTTAAGGAGTCCTGAAATCTTAAATTGGTCCCACGTCAATCACTAGAAATGTGAAAACACTGATTTTTGGAGTATTAAGTTTCAATAATTTCATTTTTGTGAACGAATTACAGCCAAACGGATAAAACCACAGTCATATTTCCCAAATATACAACTTTTATATGCATCTTTTAGATTCATTTTATCTATTATTTTTCTAACTTCAACATTTTTTAACTCAAAAATATTTGAAATGGAATTATTTAGAGGAATGTGGCTTAATATTTCACTTTCTAAAGTCAACAGGTATATATTTTATGATTATCTTCTGATTGCAACAACTCTTTCTAATTGCGTAGCATTATTATTAACATATGCGTAGTTTCTTATGCAATTTTAAAAAAATATGCGTTTCGTAATTTTAAATCCGGTTTCGGATGAGCGATCAGAACTACCAGCAAAGTAGTTCAAATTACACCTCCTCCCATGGATGGTGCATTTGTATCCACAATGGTGGCAACGATCAGCTGTTTCCGTCCATTAACAAAATACACCATACATTTGTTTATTACAGGGTGTACTTGCCAAGTAGGATGTTCTTTTGTTAATGCTTTTCAGTAGCTCCGAGTTATGGGGATGGACGAATTACCGCAATTCGATCCGAACGTCGACTTCAAGTCGGTAAGTACAAGATTTAAAAGAGAAAAAAGAATGAATATTCACTGAAGCTACTTGCTAAAATCACACTGCGGCTACGCTTTGATTCTAATTGGAAACACAAAAGCCACCTTGATCATGAATTTTGTATAAATTTTAATGTACTATTGCTTATTTGAAAAAGTGTATAGATATGTAACAACTGACATTTATGTATTGAAATTGATTGAGTGTATGTTTCTTAGTATTCTCAATAAATCAGACTGCTCGGATATTTGTCTATTAGTAATACTATTTCTATTATTATTTGTGAATTGATTTATTAATTGATGAAACGCTTTCGGTTTTTCTGTGTTATTGCCGTGTGCACCATCAGATTTTGCCGATCAACCAAAAACGGACGAACGCGTTCTTAAACCATTTCGTCATGAATACGGTCTCGTTTTTGAACGATTTCGCAGAGACGTGCGAATCTCGTCTGCTCGAGTTTGAGTACAAGTTGCAGAAAGTGGAAGCCTCCTTGCTCATATTGGAGGCACAAGTAAGTGATCACCAATTAATTACGATTACTACAATGAAATGAAACACATTTGAGCATTCTAAACAATTTCAAGCTCGACTCGATACCAGAAGTGCAAGCCAAAGTGGAAGAGAAACCAGCGGTGGTTGTTGAAACATTAGACTTACCTGAAATTAACAACGAGGATGAGGTGGATAATGTGCAGGAAGTTATTAAGGTGGAGGAAGCAGGACCTGTTGCATGCAAGGATTCACGGTTTGTGAAGTACTTTAAGATGGTGAAAGTCGGAGTAGATCCGCAAGGTGTCAGATTGAAGATGAAAGCGGAAGGCTTTGATCCCAACATCTTAGAGTGAGTGAACTCCACTGCTTCACGTGTAAATCAAATAACTGATTCTTGTGTTCGCAGCACTCCAAATCAAATCATTCCAGGATTCACTGCGGGATTAGAGAGTGAGGGGGATAAGAGCTTGACAGACTAAATATTTATAATGAGAATAAAGTAATCGAGAATAAATACAACCAAAGTATTTATTTTTTTGTTAAATACAAACTTACAGGTGGTCTTTTCTTAACATTTAATTTAGAACTGGATCATTTGTCCCTTGCGTTTCTTGTCACCTCCAAGTTCGAAGTGCTTGCACCTCTTCAATGGGATCTGCTTGCGGTATTTGCACTCAGAGCATTCCATACGCAAGACAATCTTCTTGGTGGTCTTAGCCTGTAAACAAGATCACTCGGATGAGTCTTATTAAGAGAGAGAACACGTTGCACGACTTACCTTCTTACGGAAGATGGGCTTAGTTTGTCCACCGAAGCCCTGTTGTTTACGATCGTAACGCCTTCTGCCCTGGGAAGCGTGACGTTCCTTGGACTTCTTGTACTGTGTCACTTTGTGCAACTTATGGACCTTGCATTTCTTGCAGAAAGTGCGCCTCTGCTTCGGTACGTTCACCTGCAGACAAGAAAGAAAAACATATTGACACAACTAAACATAACCTCTCGTTGCGAACCAAAACACTGCAACACTTGCCATTGCGAACGGGACGGAAATTTACGAAAAATACAAACGGGAAAACGAAATGCAGGACGTTCCGGCGTCGATGAACGTAATTTCCACGTGAATTCGTAAATTTGTCCCGCGGATGGATCAAGATTTAGAGAGAAAAATCTACGCTACTCACCATTTTGATGGTAATGTAAAGGAAGTTGGCTAGAAAAGAGAGACCGCCGATGTTTACAGGCTGGCCACGGTCACTGGAAGAACTGCGAACGCGCAAGTGCCACCATTACTTTCAAATTTAGGGTGGAAAAACGAAAAGTCCCCAAACGCAATTCGTATAAGTTTTTACATTTATCAATGGAAAATGTATTAATACTTTAAATATTACCTCATTATTATTAGTTTACTAATCACGCGAAGCACTAATTGCATTAATCAATGACACTTAGCAAAACGCGGGAAATTCAATTTATAAATCGAATTGTTTGTATTTGATAGACTCTTTATCGATTCCTTTAGAAACCATTCATTATTTACACAACAAATATTTTCTAATAACCCATTATTAACGTGAATCATTTTTTTTTTCAACTTAATAAAAAATGAGATTTTGTTTTAAAATAGAAATCATCGAAATTATTACAATTTTTAAGTTTATTGTAATAATTTTAATATTAATTAAAATGCGTTTGAAATGATCTAGTAGTCGTAATAATAATAATAATGAGTGGATTCGTGGGTTAAATCTGAGAAATCAATAGGAGCGTAGGGTGAGTGCGGAGGGTGGTGTGTTCCTCCCGTAGGGTTTCAGGGAACAAGGAACAAAGTGATTGCGAGCGCGGGAGAATAGATAAAAGGGTGCTTTCCACCACCGAAATAACATTTCAAACGATACCATAAAAAAAAAACCCATCCTAATTATAACAATAATTATATCTGTTCATTACATTTGTATTTTTTATCCTCCTTATATCGACGATGATGAATTGTGCAATAAGAGTTACAAACTTGAGCAAACGATTGCAGTTTACGTAACGATCTTTTAGAAACGTCAAGGCTTTATTTTCAATGTCTTTCTAATACACATTACATATTATTAACCTGAAGTTATTTAGGAGTGTCAAAACGCGGCGATATTCATTTGTTCCGTATAGTACATTTGAGAATCGAAGTTAGCGTCGAGTGTTTTGATGCTCCATTTTATCTATGGTAGTCATGACAATAAAGACAGTTGAAAATCTAGTCAATACATTTTTGTCGATTACATAAAAGTATAATTTTTGTATAGACATTAACAGAATTCACTTAATGCCAAAGTTCTAAGTAATAAAAAAAAACAAATCTGTTATTTCTTCTTCTCCTAATGATTATATGTAATCTGTTAACCAATTTTCTTACTTAACTATTAATGACTTAATATCTTCAAATACAGTCTAAGTACTTTAAATGGGATCTTAAAAAAAAATGAATAACAGAGCCATCTTGAAACAATTTTCTTCTATTTTTACGTCCTTTTTTTTTCTTCATAATTTCGTTTTTTTTTTGTTGTTGTTGTGAAAATGTGTGTTTAATGATAGGTTTTTGACGTTGAATTGACTTAGAAATCAACGTTTCCTAGGTAACGGTGTCAATGACAATTGAACGCGTTCTCGACTAACCGGATTATGTTTATAATATGCAATGAATCCTTGAAAGTAAAATAGTGGTGAACGACAGTTTGATTCGCTAACGGTCCATTAAAAAATTGACGATGCACGAACGGAATATCGTAACAAACGATTGATCTTAACATCCGCGTTAAAAGTGAAAGCCAATACTTAATTATAATATGCAATTGATACATTAATTTAACGTTCATCTTCGATGGAATCAACTGAATAATAACGATATTTTTTAAATGAAATTAACAACAAAAATGAAGAATTCGTTAAAAGTAACAAAGATATTTTAACGATCAATCAATTTAACATTTACGTTAAGAAAATGACTGCGTTATTAAATTTTTGAAGTGTGCATTAAAAATCAGAAATAAAAAAAACGAAAAGCGATTAATGTTGTTGTTGTTGTTTATCGTTTCTATGGAGATTTGCTTGCGATAGGTGCGACGAACAATGGGGGTTTTTATTGGATCGTATATAAATCGTGGACGAATTGATTTTGAGCAATTTGAATATTGTTTCAGGAAAGTGGCTCGCTTGATGATTCTGAACGATTTTGTTTTATTTGAGCGTTTGCAGAGATAACCGGATCGTCGATTGAAAATTGATGATTGTACGAGGGAAATGTGCGAATGACCGAATGGCGTCGGCGCCGCTCCCGTTTCAAACGGTGAACGGATGATGAAAGTGAAGCAAAAATATATATAAATAATGAAAGAAGCAGAAGAAAACGGTGACTCGAATTTCGTAAAATCGGTTGCATAACGAACGGAAGGACCACGTGGTCTTCCTCACCAACTATTTTTTTTTTCGTCTTTTTCGGGTACATCCGTAATAACAATTGAATTTTCGTTCTGTCGTTTGTTTGTTTGTTGGGGTTTCGATGGAAACGCCGCTGGAATTCGAGTCGAATAATATTCGAGCCGATTACAAATAATTTATTTACTTTATTATTAGATTCACGTTGAATATCGAAAGCGTATTCACATGTGTGTGTATATATATGTACAACACTCACATACACTTATATGAGAGACGCTGATTAGAAATACTAAACCAGTTTTTCTCTCTTTTCTTTCTTGTTATCTACCGCATAGGAAAGAGCATGATTTCTACCAGTACAGCACACTAACATCCAAAAAAATAGTTTTCTATTTCTCTTTTGTTATGTGTATAGTGTGCATTATTCGTGCACATAACTTCTTCTTTTTTTTTCTTTTTTGCCTCCCCACAGCCATCTCTTTCTCTTTGTTGTTACTACCTCTGTGCGGCAGCTGTTGCAGATTTGTGCATCGGGGTTGATATATATATATATACACACTCACACACATATATTTTTGGGGTGGAATATTTTTGTGATCTGCTGTACATTTCAAAGCTACCAGGCCACCTCTCTCTCTCTCTTTTACTCTCATTATAAATATATCTTCTCTCTCCTTCCCTCCGCCACAGTTCCTAACCTCTCTGTCACACACGCAGCGAAAGCTCCGCGCCCCCTCCACCCCCCGACCACCCGTATAAACATCCAACTCTACGCTTCTCCCCCCACCCCGCCTGATCCCTCCATCACGCTACGTCACATTCATCGGTTCACGTCCCTTTTACACTTTCTGCCAACTAATTATGCATTACTAGGAAGGTCTATTACTTAAACCAATCTCCTTACTTTAGCCATCATTCCACAATCTCTATCTTCACTAATAACAATCAAGTTATAATTACCAAAGAAACAATCATTATACAAAATTTTACAAATCTTTACGTTTTTTTAGTACACTTAACCTTAAAAAAAAACTTTGTTTCAGCATCACTAACATTTCAATCCTTAATTACTCATCATTTTTTTTTTTAAATCTAGATTCAAAATTCAATATTTCATTCATAAAAAAAAACAAAGGTTTTCCATTTGCAAACGAAATTGTCCAAAAGTCAACAAACAAACAAACAAACAATAAAAACAGTTCGTTTTCTATTGGCGTTTCGGTTCCATTGGTTTTCGCGACTCGAGGCTCCGCCCATCAAATTCGATATTGGTTCCATCGCCAAAATCGAACCACCAAACTTCAATAATTGTTATTTAAATGAATACCGTTACGCGTATTACTTGTCAAGTAACGCGTAACCATAAATTATAGTTGAACGACGATTCGTTAAATATAAATTCAATCGAAATTTTCAATTTTTAAAATAAAAACGTTTTTGGTGTCACCGCCATTTTAATATCGTTAAATATAAATTCAATCGAAATTTTTAATTTTTAAAATAAAAACGTTTTTGGTGTCACCGCCATTTTGATATCGGATTTAACCGAAACTTTTCTTTTTTTTTTCATATTTTGTTTCTATTCAACGCCTTCTATGATATTTGAGTGTTTCGTAAAACTCATTTGAATCTCATTAGGAGTCGTTTCAAAATGATGATTGTCATTGTCTTGACCTCTCTGGCAAATAGAAAAATCTTTCCTGAAATTACGTTTTAAAAACGAAAGTTCTCTAATATTAATTTCAATAGTCTTGAATGGGACACCCGGTATAGCGTTATTCTTCTTATTATTATTTTTTTTGTTTTAAGCACATGGATATGTTGATTATATGCAAAGCCTTATTGCATACTAATTACTGAATGGGTAGTTTCGAGGAAGAAGCACTAAATTCGATGCGACCATCTTGGTTTCTCTATGACAAGATTCTAATTACGTGTAGTTTTTTTTCTATGTATTTATTATTCAAAATGCGTTTAATAATAATAATAATATTAATGTTATCAATTTCGATGGATCACGCGAGAGGGGGCGAATTGGGTCAAAATAAATAATTTGTTATTTATTGTTTTTCGGATTATTTTTGGGTTTTCGAGATTGCGTGTTCTTTTTTTTTTTACTGTTAGGTTTTCGTGTCGCAATGGCCGAACTATGAAATGGCGGGAAATTCGTATTCGGTTTTTAAGTTATTTCGTAGGGAAAAAAAAATAATGAATTTGTTCACGAACAAAATGGCGGGAAAGGAATGAACGGAAACGGGACAAAACAAAAAGGACGCCACCTCTGATGTTGATGATTGTGATGATAGTTTATTGATTTAAATTCGATGATGAAAATTAATGGAATTCGTGTGGATTTTAAAAATAGAACGCACGGAAATGGAGCACGGGGAGGAAATTAGGTTAAAGTTGTTAGAATTTCAATGAATGCCGGAAACGGTACACGATGCTCTCTCTCTCTCTCATAGAGAATAAACTTGTTGAATTTCCCATGCTCGCAGCGTTTCGCATTCAAAACAAACTGCTACTAATTCGCACCTTACGTTGGAAAATCGCTGGAAAATCCTTTAGATTCTTGCAAATTTTCCGGGCTCGCTTTTTTTTTGTGGTGTTGCGAGGGAAAAGGTTATCACGCTTTCCGTGGGGATTTTCGTATTTTGAATCTGGGGACGAGTGTCGGCTCCGGAGCGCCTCCAAGCGACGGCATACCAGAAGCGTCGCGCGAGTCTCGCACCCGAAACGCTTCGGGTATTTCCATACTCTCGCACCCCTCACCGGCGATTTTCCCGAATTAATTTAAACAATTTCCCAAAAGGAAAATCGCCAATTCTCGTTCGTGTAAAACAATTGGTGAGTTGTAGTTGAGTTTTCGAGGAAAACTCGCTTGAGAATCGGTTTATCGGTGGATGCCGGTAGGTCGTGAAAAGTCGGATGGGTACGCGCCGAAGAGCGCCATATTAATTTTTGAACTGAGCTTGCTTTTCGCCGGTCAGTAGTGTGATCAGCGCCCGTGCACGTCACTTCGTAGCAAGCAGAGAGGAACGGATCTCGCACATACAACAAGGTTTATAAATAAGTATAAACAGGCGAAACGAAGACAGAAACCGAAGATGAGTACCAAGGAAAGCCACGAAGTCGTGATCGAGAAGATCGACAACGATAAGGACGCCAAGTGCGAAATTAAGGGAACCAAACGCTCGGCCGAGGTGAGTGTCTCTGTGTGTGTGTATGCAGAGCATACAAACAACATACGTGCACAGCACAGCATTGCAAAGCAACAACAGAAAGCAAAAAATATATATAAAAACAAAGTACGCACGCACGCGACACACTTGTTTATTTGTTGATGGATCTTTTTAAATGTCGCGCCTTGCTGCTGCTGCTGTGCGTGTTGTTGATGTTTGTTTTGTTTTTTTTTTTTAATTTTCAAATTTCTTATTTTATCATCTAGGTGTGCGCCGCTACAATCCGAACGTAATTGTAGTAGACCACCTAAATATGTTTCTTCATCATCGATAAATGCCTATTAATGAACAACATGACTTTCCCCCCTTATGTCATAAGCGTTCTCGCGTTTCCACGCGCTCTCCGCTTTGGTTAGGACGCTTCGCAACAGAGACGCGTTCTTTTCCATCCTTCTTCTTTCCATTCGCTCTTGTTGCTGCTGCTTCTTCTTTAGTCGCAAGTGTTGATGGGGGACACGGCGTGCTGTGTTTTGTCCACATGTAAACACGACCCGACGTCCCGCCATTATTGTTATGTCGGAAGCCGGCCGGATCCAAGATGGCGAAATCAATAGCCCGGGCCCTTTTTCCAATGCATCCGTATTTCACCCATCAACAACAACAAACAGACCTTAACAACAACAACAACAAACAACTTCTGTTTCCTTTTTTTTTGTGCGACATTTGTTGCGTTCGGTAAACATTGTTGATGCATCATTGGCCGGAGGCGCCGCGTCGTCACGTGGCCCCAGCGTGCCCCCAAAAAATGTATTTATAAAATATCCGAACACTTTATAATACACAGCGCACATCCATTCCATTTTATTTTCCTCTTGTTTTTTCCATCAAAAGAAAAAGAAAATATAATAGAAAAAGACGTTATTTATTTATATTTATAGCCGCCGCAAATTGGTGTGCGTTGCACACTCACACACATTTTTCATCCGTACACGTAAATACATGTGCCTTATCATCTCGTGTGACCTACATGCTCTCAATCTAGAATGTATTCTTCTTCTTCTTTTTTTCCTCTTTGATACGTTTCTCGAATTCCCGCAAATTGGCGCCAAGAAGTAAATTATTAATATATGTAAATAACGCTTTTTCAATCAGGTAAACGCTTTTTTTCGTTGTACGTTCTTCTCTTTCTTCTTTCCATTTCCCACCATCGTTTTTCGCGCGCGTCGTGTTTCGAAGCCACAATTCCGGGCATCCCCACCACCACTTCATCCAAGCTTCCTGGAGAGTGAACCAGAGAGAGAGCGATTTTCATCTTTGTCCGCCTCGAGCGTTTTCCCTTCCTCCTCAACAAGAATTTCTTTATAATTCTCTCTCTCTCTGTTCCCACCGTTATTGTGCGCGCTTTGCTCTTCCCCCCCTCGTCCTTGTTTACAGTTATAAAACTAACTTTTCGGTATTCCCATCCTAATTTTATATATATCTATTGAGGTGGGGTAGTGGTGGGATGCGAGGCTCACCAATGGGCGACTGTTGCCGCCTCCCCTGCTCTCACCCCACAAAAACTAACTCGCCCGAAGCCACGGCCACGCTTCTCGCACGTCATACGTGCGGGGTGATAGCATGTATTGGATCTTTTATCCGGCGTACAGATAATGTATTTCAGACGTTTACCAATCATGATCATGGCTACTGCATGTAAAAAATAGTATACAAATGATAAAATGTTGGACCAAATCAGCATATTCAGTTTACATAATCTTGAATTTATTTATTATAAACGAGCGCGTCTTTAATTCACTTCACTTGTGTTGCTTTACAGACCGGATATTTTTATCACTAAAATAAACAACTAAATTATGAAACAACACTTATCAATTTAAAATGTAATCAAAATTAAGCAACACAAAATGCTTACCAACAGGTTGATTTATGTTATTGAGAATCATTTAATAACTATTTTTCGTTGCTGCATCTTGATTTTGAAGCGCACCTGTAAACCGGAAACCGCGCGTCACACTTGGCGGCCCATGTAGCAAGCCGCTACCATTTGTTTGGAAAGAATGCGTTTTTTTTAAATAAATTGTTCTTCTTTGTTTTGCAGGACAAAGTGGAAGATGTGAAAAAGGCGAGGAAAGAGGAAAATGGCGCCACCTCCGAGGGTGAGGACCTAGAGGAGGAAGAGGTGGAAGGTGCCGACTGCGAAGAAGAGGATGAGGATGAAGACATCCCGGAGGGTGATGAGGAGGAGCTCGATGGTGAAGGTACGTTTTAATCCGTTGTGTTGTTGTTGCTTTGATAGCGATTTATAATAATAATGATTGGTGATTGTAACGTTTTGGTATTTTTTTTCTCGTAATTTGCAGAAGACGATGAGGAGGATGTGGAGGGCGAGGAGGAAGAAGATGCATAATAGATTAGATAGGGTGGTGAAAGTGTTGTAAGGACTATCAGTGACTGGCGGGCTCCTCGTGGGGCTCGCTTACGCGGACTCTAACTTATTTACTACGTATCTCTTTGGTTTGTAAAAATGTCCATTTTATGTAAAAAATAGGTATAAATTTAGATTAAGTTTTTTTTGTCACGACGATCCCTTTTTTTAATTGTACAAAAAAAAAAAGAAAAGAAAAGAAAGAAAATAACGATAAAAGACTAGAACACTGCGTAAAGAGAATAAACCAACAGAGGAAGAACACACACATCTTAGATATGCATTGAAGAAAACCAAACTTAAAAATAGAAAGAGAGATTTTTCAGAACAAAACAACAAGCTGTGCGAGGAGACACATTGTCGTCGATTAGAATGGCAATAAGCATTATTTTACAAGAAAAATGAAACCATATATAAATAATTGAAGAAACAAGAAAAGAGTATGAATGAGACATAAAAAACACACACAGAGAGGGGGAATAGTAAAGAAGAAACAAAATGATTTTTTTAAAATAATTCAAAATATATAAACAGTGTGTTTGTATTCATGAAGTGGTGATGTTTAGAGCCTGCGACCTGGGTCAGAGTGTGGGCGACGTCGGAGACGACGGAATCTCCTCCCTTCTTCACTCAACGTGCGCATCGACAAGGAACGAATCCCATCATCAACATGTTCGTCGTCGTCAAAGCCGCAGTTCATCATCATCATCTTCATCGTCGAACTCCACCACAACACACACATTCACTAGAGAGTATACACAGCTCACGCCCCCCGTAGCACCCTGACCCAGGTCTCTGCGTACCTGTTTCTGCGACTCCAACTGACCAAGACCCTGCCGCCATCGCCGCCTCCACCCCCACACCAACGACACCGGACCTCTTCAAAACAAAAGAAACATACAACAACAACAGTAGACATATGACCGACGTTCAATGATGATCGCCGCCTCTCATTACTTATATATTTTTTTTTTGCGATTGAAAAAAGATGTGCGTTGATCGTGCATCCATATCATCATCTCACCTAAGCAAGCCCGGGTCTCGATCTGTTGAGAGCGCCCCTTTGTAATAATACCTTTAACAAGAAAGAAAAAAAAATCAAACAAAAAAAAACAACAACAAATTTTCTACATATTACAACTATATGTATTATCCCCCCAGAAGAAACAACAAATCCTCCTCCTCCATCCCGCATCCGAATCATCGTCATCTCATCATTCCATCTGGTCGTCGAAGAGAAAGAGACAGTGAGCGCATCTAATTTTTTTTT